GAATGAGGGGGGTGGATGGAGAGTCAGGGTGGGGAAGCGGGAGGGTATGCGATACGGAGGGCGTTACGTTAGAGGAGGAGGGGGGGAGTTTGAGCGAACGACGGGGGGGAGGGCGAGGGAGGACGTGGGGTGGGGGGATGGGAGGGGCGTGAAGTACTGGCCTTCAGTCCCTAGCCTGCACGCGTTAGGAGAGCGGCCCGCCGATCGACGCAGACTCCTTTGGGCGCCTGGCGGCCGCCGCCGCCGCCTTATACGGGGGGAACGCTCCCCGGCTTGACGGCTGCTCAGCAGCAGCAGCTGGGGCAGTGGCGGGAGGGGATGCCAGAGGCGGCGGCGGCCGCGGTGGCCGCAGCGGCGGCGGAGGCGGAGGCGGCGGTTGCGGAGGCGGCGGCGGCAGCACAGGCGGTGGCGGCCGCGCAGCAGCAGCAGCAGCAGCAGCAGCAGCAGCAGCAGCAGCAGCAGCAGCAGCAGCAACAGCAGCAGCAGCAGCAACAGCAGCAGCAGCAGCAGCAGCAGCAAGCGTTCGCCATGCAGCCGATGGTGCAGGCGCTGTCTTCGCCGTCGCAGGCTTGGCCGCCGCACACCCGCGAGGCGCCCCAGCCAGCGGCTTGCGCCCCTGGCGGCGACACACACGGCACCCAAGCCACGCCGATGGCTGCGTCACTTGGCACTGTTGCAAGCGACCCGTTTGGCGCGTTGCAGCCAACGGCGCCGGGGTTGCAACAGCAGGCGCCGTCCCCGCAGCCGCCCACGCCGCCCCACGCGCCGCAGCAGGCCGCCTACCCGCAGCCGCCGCAGGCACAGCCAGCGCGCTCTGCCCCTGCCGGCTTCCTGAGCAGCTACGAGACGCAGGCTCTGCCCACTGCTTTTGGCACGTCCTTTGGAACCTCCGCCCCACCCGCGCCGGCGCCAGCGCCTGGGTTCGATTCCTTCTCCGCCCCACCCGCGCCGGCGCCAGCGCTTGGGTTCGAACCCTTTCCCTCACCGCCCGCGCCCGCGCCAGCGCCGGGCTTCGATTCCTTCTCCTCGCCGCCAGCGTTTGCGCCGGCACCCACGACCGGCTTCGCCTCCTTTGGCGCTAGCACCTTTGGCGGGCCGCCGCATGCGGTGGCGCCGGCACCGGCGCCACCGCCGCCGCCGCCGATCGCGGCGATGGGCGGCCCCGAGTACGCGCGGTACATCCAGCTCTTCCACTCGCTCTGCCAAGGCAGCTGGGCCCTCAGCCGCGCGCAGGCGGAGCCCACCTTCAGCCGCGCAAGGTGTGGCCAAGCCTAGATGCGGAGTCCCCCCATTTGTATTCCAACTAGCTCTCGAGGAGGTAGGTCTTGCAGGCTGTGCTACCGCACTCTCGCAGCACTCGCACCTCCCGCGATGCGCGCGCCGAATCCTAGCCCTAGTCTCTGGACGGCGCTTTCATGATCTCCCCATATCTCCCCATATCTCCCCGTGTCTACCCATGTCTCCCCAACCTCAGACCGCAGGGATGATCTCTGACGTAGGCTCCCAAGGGAAGACATTGACGCCGTGTGGGCGCTGTGCGACACCGACGGCGACGGCTACCTCGCGCGCAATGAGTTCGCGGTCGCCCTGCACATTGCCGCGGCGCGCTACAAGGGCGCGGCGATGCCGCAGCAGCTACCACCTTCGGGTCTGCTGCCACCGGAGGCAGCGGGAGAGCAGCAGCAGCAGCGGCAGCGGCCGCCGCCGCCGCCGCCGCCCCCGCCCCCGCCATCGTACCAGGAGCAGCACCAGCAGCCGCAGCAGGCGCAGCACCAGCAGCCGCCCTCCAGCTACGAGGACTACAGCCGCCCCGCCGGATACGACGACGAGGACAGCTCCCTGCCGAAGAAGGGCCGCCGCCTGAGCGTCGCCGGCGCCGCCTCCGCAATCAAGTTTGGACACAAGAGGGGCTCCAAGACGGCGCCGCCGCCGCCGCCGCCGCCGCCGCCGCGCGAGCACTGGGCGCCCCCCAACCCCAGCGGCGGCGCTACCGGAGGAGGAGGCGGCGGGGACGCCGAGCACGTCCACCGCTCGGGCCTGCTGAGCGCCAACAAGAGCAAGCGGTGGTGCGTGCTGAGCGGAGGCAAGCTCGACGTCTTCGACAAAAAGGTGCGTGGCGGGAGGCCCTCCATAGTCGGTTGAGGTCGCCGCCCTCCTCGTGCCTCTTCCCAACGTTCCCTCGGCGGCCGATGCCGTCTGCTCCGGCTCCCCAGTCCCCGGGTCTGCCCTGCTCTTGTCTGCGCTAGTTTCTGTTTCGTCATGGCGGCGGCGCAATATCTTCCAAGCTCGCCGGCGGCGAGAGGCAACCGCCTCCCTCCCTCCGCCCCCCCCTCCGTTCAGCTCGCGTCCCCCCCCCCCCCTTGCTCGGCCCACAGGCGGATCAGACCAAGCCACCAAAGATGAGCCTCGACCTCCGCGCAGACGTGAGCCCGAGAGAGATGGAGAAGCCCACAGAGGGCCACCGGCAGGCCACCGGGAGAGAGGGGGGAGAGATGGCCGAGAGGAGAGGGCTCCGGCGCAGCCGAACGCGCCTGTGCCGCCGTGGTTGTTGTTCCCAGCGAACAAGCCCGCTCTCGCCCGGTGCGCAGGTCAGCAAAGTGGCGCGGAGCGACCTCAAATCCTTCAAGCTCGAGCTCCACCCGGGCTCGCGGCATGCCAAGGCGGCCAAGAGCGCCGGAGGCAGTGCGAGCCTCCTCTTCTCCTCGGACGACAACACGGAGATCTCGAAGTGGGTGAATGACCTGACCAAGGTGGTGTCGGGGCTGCATGGCGGCCACTGAGAAGCCTGGGGAAGGCTGGCGCCGGCGTGTGAGGGTGTGGGTGAGTGGGTGGCCGCGCGCGCGGCGCGCGCGCGCCAGCAGTTGAGGCGAGCACGTGCTTCAGCGTGAGCGAGACGCGTGGAAGAGTGTCACACCGTCGGGTAGGGACGGGTCGGCCCGGAGAGTATCGGAGCAGCGTACGGCTCTATTTATATCCATCGTCTGGCCGATTTTTTCGCGCGGTATCCGCGACGCCGGCGGGACACGTAGAGCTCTAGAGGGAGCGGACCCTGAGTTGAGGAAATCGGAGGACGCGACCCACGTCGCCACAGACGGTCCCGCGCCTCGCCGCTATGACGGGGACACACCCCGCACCGTCCGCTGTGTCCCCGTCTTTGTCCGGAGTGAAAAGTCCAACGCGCTCGTCGGTGGCGGCGTCCCCCGATTTCGCCGCGCTCGGCGAACCTCGACAGCGCTTTCGGTGGCATGCAGCTCTTTGCGACAGAAGCCTGGAGAGCAGCTCCTCTGCTGCTCACACACTCTGCACAGTTGACACAGCCTACTGTGCGGCTGCCACAGCTGTGACAGCGATGGGCTCGCCCTCACTGGCCCTCAGTCACTTGTGCTGCGGCTTGGTGTGAGCGACACTGCTCGGCGACTGCCGGCACACTGTGAGACCATGGGTGTGAGGTTAAACCACGCTACCAGCGCTTGGTCACATCGGCCCCGAGGTCAGATCCATCTACTCTGTTGATGACAAGACTTGTCTACCGGCTGGAGCCGAGCAGGAGGGCCCGGCGCACAACCCCTTGGTCAACTCACCCTCCACACCCCGTATGGCGGTGCCGGTGCAGATGACGCCCGACGTACGAAACCTCGGCGACCGCGTCCCGTTCGCCGAGGTGTGTGTGCGACGATGGCGTGCTTATCCCCACCCACCCATCTTCGAGGCCGACGCGGCGAAGGGCGGCGCCTCGATCGAGGCGCTGAAGACCGAGTGCCGCGAGAGCTGCGTCGAGGTCGCCTCGCCCCGCCCGCCTACCCTTCCTACCGCGCGTCTGAACACACGTGTCCCTCCATTCACACTCTCCCAGTCCTCCCTGGTCTAGTGCCCGTGTGTTCTCCGCCCGTCGTTCTCCGCCCGCCGTGCGGATTCGGGTCTTCTTCGTCCTTTAGACGTTTCACCTAGAGCAAGCAGGGCGACGCGCCCACACGCCCATCCGCCGGCCGGGTGGGGCTTGCACGCCGCGGGCCATCCCCACGGGCACGGCACGCAGAGAGGCACTTGTGACTTGAGGCAAACTGCGGGTGAATAAATATTTATGAACGGACGAACGCGAGCTCGTGAGGTCCACGAAAGCACCGCTTGGCGTGCGGCGGTTTGGGCATCGCGCACGTACGTCAACGGGACGCTCTGGAAAAGGGTGTGATCTCTTTCCGCTGCATTGATTGCTGTACCTTTGGCATCCTTCCAGATCCCAGCCGCTCTACGCTCAACGAATCT